CCACTATTCGTTGGAAAAAAGAGTGGCCAAAGAGTTGGCGACGGGTGGTGATGACTAGCTGCCTTCCCTCTTGTCTCACACTGTTAAATTAGGGACGGCTAGTGCAGATAGCCCTCGTGTAGCTTTGCGCGAAATTCAAAAACAAACAAAAAATCCATTCAAAATGCAGCTTCTAAGGCATTGCCTTTTTTTTTTCTTCTGCGAGGGCAAAATTAAGCAGTGAAGAAGCTTTCGTTTTACCAAAAACTTGCAGAGACAAATTTTTTGAATTGTTTTTCAGAGAATAAGATAAAGTTGTGTAAAGCAAGAGAAATAAATAAATGCTTTATAAATATTATTTCAAAACCATCGTTTTATCTGATCTGTGTTGTGCAATGTTTTCTGTTTCACGTGGTAATTGTGGCTGACATGTAGAATATAGAAACACCCAGAAAGATCCGAGATTTTTAAATAGATAAAATTACAACACTATATATTTACTATACCAACGGCTTTTATTATATCTCTAGTTGTAGACCTGGAAGACCACCTAAGAGAGCAGCCCCCATGATGGGGGTTCTGTCAACCTCGACCAGTCTTCTCAAGAAAGGCCGTCTCGACGGTGAATACCACGGTTACAAGGACGGTCACCTGAACGGTATGTTGAGACCTTTATAATAGGAGGGAAAATACAATAACACAGGCAGAAGAGTAGATATGGAGAAAGAGTGTTTTAACATTATATCACAAGACAGATAAAATGAAGCAAGATGAATGAGTGAATAGATGTGTATTCAGTACAGTAAATAGATAACTTTCCTGATACTCGTACAGGATAATGATGAATACACCAGTATAGAAACAATTTTCATTGAAATTAACAAATAATTTTACTCAGTTAAATTTAACCTGCCTTTTTTTTATTGAGTTAACGTGTACACGTGTAGTACAAGATCCCCATTCCAGTTTAAATAGTTATAAATTATCCATCGGTTTATTCAATTGGCGTGTACACGTGTAGTACAAGATCCCCATTCCAGTTTAAATAGTTATAAAGTATCCATCGGTTTATTCAATTGGCGTGTACACGTGTAGTACAAGATCCCCATTCCAGTTTAAATAGTTATAAATTATCCATCGGTTTATTCAATTGGCGTGTACACGTGTAGTACAAGATCCCCATTCCAGTTTAAATAGTTATAAATTATCCATCGGTTTATTCAATTGGCGTGTACACGTTGGATACTTCGTAACTGAGTGCCTCAACTGTAAGCTGCGATCTATTGTGCTAGGCACACTAATTCAACAGACAGTATAATATGTAACAATAAATTGTGGTGTGATTTACTGTACTACGTCTGTCATACTAAACCATATATGAGTAGTACATTAAATCGGCATCACAACATTGTGGTCCCCCTTCCCCCAGTTACAAAGATATAATCTATTTAATGAACTAAGCTATATGTGTTCTAGAAACTACATAACTTAAAACTAAAAGATATACAACCACTCATTAGAATAGAAGGAATCAATATCTATTTATATGCGTGTTATACAGAGAGTTGAGTACGTTATCTTAAAGTGGTTTTGAATATCCAAATCAGCCGATATCAATTCGCTGTGAAACGGAATGTATCACAACTACATTTTGACAGTGTTTGACGTTCGTATATTGTATGATGCCTCAAAAAATGGATCTCTTTTAGGAAGGGTACGTAATAGTCCTTTCCGACGCAAAATGTTCATGCACTCAGCTCATAAAGAAGTATTCAGTTCGGAGATTTAGAATTTCCAGGACGAGATATCCTTTGTACTTAATGACATTGGAAATAGAGGAGCATGAATCAACTTGGGTATCCAGGACCATCCAGAAAGACACCTGCAATAAGTTGTACCCCTGCCATGGCAAGCGAAGTGTAACGTCTTGTAACAGGTGAGAGAATCCACAAACACAAAGTTCAGTGGCAAAATTCGTCCAGTGCCCCAGGCAACAGTACGAAACATAATGAAGAAGGATCTCTGTCTAGAAAACGCGACAGAAGTCTCTACCGTTACAAATCCATTTGGTCGTCGCATACATCAAGAAGCTGGAAAAGGAAACGAGTATTCGTGCTATTCCATACGAAGACATACATGTTAAACCGTCTTTGGATTTGTGTGCTATCGGACTGTTGAAACGGGTGCTGAGATAACATTGTCCTCGTACACTAGATGGCTTATGAAAATCAATATAGAAGGAAAGATGTACTTTAGACATGGCAGCCTTACGACAGAGCCTTTTGCAATGGAAACTATGTTGAAGGGCTATCATCAAGACGTGCGGTTGTCAGATAAAGCATTACCGAACGTGGCGACATGGACTGTAACGACGCGATGAGGCACCAAAATCGTTTTAATATAACGTACTCAACCTATGTATATAAAGGGGTAGCTTTTATATTTCGTCTATTAATCACATGATTTTTCTTGCATGTTTTTGCACTAGCTGCGCTCTTGTTCTCTCAGTAATACATGTTAACTTTCATACAGTTCTGTGTTATTTCGTGTTTTTTTTTCTTCTTTCTGAAACTTTTTAAAGATAAAGCCTATCGAATCCATGATTTAGGTTAAAGTATTTATCACTGATAGTAATTCTATACTTCTGACAATTCTTTTTTAAGATTAATATTGTCAAGGCATCTGTGTTAACCTTAAACTGAATTCTAAAACTACAGTTCGCAATATTTACATTGGCACTAACTGGTGTTTTTCGCTATACGTTCACAGAGTAAAATGATGTTCGGTGTTTATGTATATAACTTTTCATTAAATGTGGACTGGGCGTGGTCCAGTGGTTAGCATGCTCGAACTATTAATTTAGAGGATTGATTGTTCGCGATCCGTTGCCGCAAAACCTCACTTGGCACTTTATGTGCGTTATAAATGTGACAGTCCAATCCTACTATTCGGGCACAAAAAAGTAGCCTGAAAGTTAACGGTCAGTGCTCTTGACTCAATAGCCATTTCCCTGGATGTCGTATATCAATCAGATCACAATTAGGGACGACAGTGCACAGGTAGGTAGCCCTGTTTAGCGTTGCGCGAAATAAAACCATTCAAAGTATGCTCCACTGTAAAGGTTCATGTAAAACAGAACAAAGAAGTCGACGGAAGGCATGACGTTATTAGGTGTGTAAATGGAGTAAGTTTGAAATTTTTTAATTTATGAAACCATGAAACTTATGTTTTTGGTGTTGTGTTTTTTTAATTATGATATTATTTCGATATCAAGCGTGAGGTAAAGTTCTCGACTTGTTCCCTATAAAGCGATGTCTATTGTAACATTAGCGTCGTTCGAGTAGGGTGTTTAGAAAGTTTTGATCACTTGTTCTCAACAGTTTTTTACCATATATCTTTTTAGTTTGTTTGTTTGAAGTTAAACACAAAGCTACACAATGGGCTATCTATGCTCTGCCCACCATGGGTGTCGAAACCCGGTTTCTAGCGTTGTAATTCCGCAGACATACCGCTGTGCCTTTGAGGGGTTATCATACATCTTACAATTGGTTTGGTGTTTCTGAGAACGGCATAGCTGGTGTGATATAAATATACGTGACCCCCTGTCGACTAAAAGACACAACAACAAAAACAACGAATTTAGAAAATCAAGAATTGTATCAGCAGAACCGCTGTTGTCACTAAATGGACGCCAAGTACAACCCAGGGGGCAGGGGAAGAGTATAGAGGAGGATTCTTTATCATTTTCTATTTAAAAAAATCATCCATTTTCCTTATTACTTTCATCCTGGTTCCCGCCCTTTTTCAATTCACAAATCGGTCTAATCTTTGTTCTAAGGTTACGGACCGTTAGTGGTATATGAACCTACAATATTGTTTCATAATTACTTTCTTATTTACAGTAAACTAAGAAGGAAACAATAGTTTTCATCTATTATTAACACATGTATAAGTTATAAAATTTCACGAATATCGAATTGTTTACTACTTTTTTTCGCTGGGTGTTGCTGCCAACCAATGGTTGAGAACACGTGGAATAAGCAGTAGTGCAACACAAATGTGGAGTTAAATGTATAGTGTTCACACATCGCACGTAGAAAATAATTTAGAAATTACGTGTCAGCTTTGTGTTAATAAATGAAGATTGAAACCAGTTAGCAGTTCATACCTTCATAATGTTTACATCACGACGAATAGAACAATACTCACGTGCACAGTTTGAACTGCTCCCTTGAGTCGTATGACGACTATTTTATAGAGCGATCATCTTGTAAGTCTCACATCGGACCAAGCTACAAACCACTGCTAAAAGGCTTCTCTTCAATACAAAACAACAAAATCGTTCAAAGTTCACTCGCCCCTAAATAGATTAGGTTTGATTTAATTTGTGCAGTTACTTGTACTGCCTGTACTCATGCCTTTTCTTTTTCTGTTACGTATTGGAAAGTACCTCATAGTTTGATTGGAAATTACCAAATTTTCCACTCACACATACAAAGTCTGCCTTGCAGTTAGTTAGTTTATTGTCAAGCGCAAAGCTATACAATGGAACATCTGTACTGTGTCCACAATAGGGATCGAACTCCGGATTTTAGTTATACGCTCTCAAGCCTACCGGAGGGAACCTTACATTTAGAATGCGTGTAATGTGTAAAAGTATTAAAGCATCAATAATTCCATTACTAAATAAACCGAAGTTGTGTTTGTAGTAAACGATTAAAGATATAAATTAAATACATAACTGTTATTAGGTTGCCGAAGAAGAAGGCATTTTAACTTCCTACTTAATAGAAACTATAAGATTTTCTTTGGGAAAAAACGTATGTTGTTGTTTTTTATTACTATTTTATCAACGTACTGTAATGTGCCAATCCCCAAGAAAACTTCGAAGCTTAACGTTATTTTCAGCGTACCATTCTTCAAAAGTAACGAAAAACAAATATAAATACTCCACGTTGTTGCGAAGTAAGAAAAAAAAACGTATTCTATGCGAATTAGGCCTAAAGTAGAAGCACTGCGTCTTATTGTTTTTAATACTTACTTTTCAATAAACCTCGAAAGATTACATGGTCGTGAATCTCAATAGAAAGTGTAGTTAAAATTCAAACATTTACGTTACCTTTTTGAACTTAGAAGATATTAGGTATTATTATCAAGCTTCTAGGGAAGAATGTTTGTTCTACATAAAGAAGATAACAACAAATGGTCGGTGATACAGGAAATGCTTTTACTTTAATGAACAGTGACGTTATATGCTATGTTGTATCTATTTAACATAAGAGCGAACCGGTATTTCAGCGAAACGTAATCCTGCACTTTTCCATGATCATGTTTCCAACATAACGTTTTAAATCTGTCCAGTTAATTCTGAAACAAAACACACTATAAACCAAACAACAGTAATAAGAGGGGGGTGTCAGCGTGATTCTCGGTCTTCTTCAGGGCAGCTAAGATAATGACGTGGCTGACGGAAGTTCAAAAATATACAAACTGCTGTACGGAATTAGGTTAGATGGTAGAATGGCCTCTTGATGTATAACGAAAGTTGTGTTATCAAGTCCCAGATGATCTGACAACTTTGCATCAACCTTAAAGCGGGAGTTCTCAGCAGTTTTGAAGGACTATTTCCGTAAGATGTCGGTTGATGAAAACATTGTG